TTCCCAATTACACGGGGCTGGAACAGGGTCATGAAGACATGAAGAGGCATGTCCTCTCCCAGTGACACTTCCTTCCACAGGAAGTACGAGCCGACCAGCTGGCTCCACCCATTCGGTAGAACCTGGGTCGGTGACAGCATGAATTTCCTAAGCACCACCCTAAAAAAGGGGTGCAAAGGAAGACGCATACCTGCTTTGAACAGATATTCACTCATGGCAACGCAGCCGGGCCTCGGATAGCAGGCCCGCTTGTTCGGTTCGGGGACTAACATCTCTATGTGATGAGGCACACCGTACCTCTCCCTAAGTTCCCCCAACCTTTTCCCCGTCATGTTTGAGGGCACTCTAGAAGCCCCCCACTCCTGGGTATAATCCACGTCCTCCTCGGCCATGGCATACCTATCCACCTCGAACGTCCCCCCATGACCTACCCCATGGTCTAAAGACGCTACTGTGACAAGCTCCCTACCCGAAGTGGACTCCATTTTTTGAGGACAAAAAATAACAACGGTGTTTTATGCAAACAATACCTAAAACAGTTCAACACAAACGGAGACCGGTCGGAATCTAATCGCAGACAACCACGACGCCGAAAATTGGGAAATTTGAGAGAATTTGAGAATGCAAAGTGTTCAAAATTTCTGGAAAGTGGGATTTTCTCGCCTTTTATAAAGATCCAAGACGAACCCCACCCGTCAGATCAAATCTCAGTCAATCCGAGCCCTCCGTTACAGATCCAATCAGAGGCGTTGAATTCTAACAGTTTTTGAAATCCTACGCCTCCTATCTATGCGTACCTCACACGCACCTCTCCAGCGCGTCTGCTTCTAGAAACGCCAGTTGCGCTCATAATTGCATTTTTAATTCGTCGGCGCCAGCGCCTTGGAAGTCGTAACGGTTCAGCTACCGTTCCTCGAAAACAAGCACAAAACATCAAATCATTGGCACAGAGACCAAAGCATAATCATTACCATTGGACCTCGGCTTCTTCATACCCGCTCAGCATTCAAGCCTCGCAGGTTCGGTTTCTCAATCACCTCGGCTTCTTCACACCCGCTCAGCATTCAAGCCTCGCAGGCTCGGTTTATCAACCACCTCGGCTTCTTCATATGCCATTCAGCCTTCAAGCCTCGCAGGTTTCGGTTCCCCAACCACCTCGACTTCTTCATCATACACCTACAGCAAAACTTCTCTAACTCCAACCATGATATAAATATCTATACTTGGACTTGGGGGACTATTGTTGCGCGTTGTCACACCTGTCCTACCCACCTGGGCCAGTGGCCCACTCATCCTGATCCACGTGGCATTCCTGCCGAGGTGGCCCACATTTGCCGAGGTGGGTTATATCCGAACTGCTTCTAACTGAGGCCCGAGGCGTGGAAGCTCCTGGTTGTAGCTGAGGTCCTCGAATGGACAAAGCCCCGAAGTCGATGCGTGAGCCTCAACCACAAGGAAACATCCTCCATTGTCACTTCTCCCAAGAGATCTCCTGCACAGATCTTATTCGAATTATTGATGGAATGTCTGTCATAAGCATAAAGGTCAAGTCTTGTCACTAGCGTGGAGGCCCTGCACAAGCAATAAATGCGCCGTAAGCTAGCAAGTCAAATCCCATGCCTAAGAACAGACGTTTAAACTAAGGAGATGAGGCCACGTGCCACTTCATCCAAGGGCCCCCATTCCATATGTATCACTATAAATACCCCCATTGTATAATGTCAAAAGGCTAATGCAAGAATCAATACTAAAGACTGCATTTACTCAACTCTCTCTCATTCACTTGCAATACACAAATCGAGTTTATACACTTTTACTTATACATTTACGAGCACCGGTTAGTAATTATTGTACAATCGGATTACGAACAACCCGTCGGATTCCGAACGTTACCGTCCCGCGTCGTTGGGCTACTCCCACGCCCCTTTGAACCGCTTGTTTTAGACCGTCCACGTGTCTTAGCGTGTTGGACATTCGCTCACGCAAGCGCGGGTGGGACCGACATCTGTTGGCGCACTTTTTGGGGTCAACAGGACTGATGCTGCCAACTAGTGATGGCAAAAAAACTCGCCCCGCTCCAAACGGGTTGGCGAGGCGAGGTGAGGCGTCGCGAGGCATGGGGCAAGGATGCCCCGCCTCGTGAAGGGAAAAAAAAAAAAGAATAAAAGATTAAAAATAATTTTATTTCTAAACAATTTACCCGTTAAAAATCAATTTTGAATTTGTATTTTATTCTTTAATAACGACATAACTCGAAATCTTGAAAATGTTAAAAAAAGAATAATATATAAAAAATTAAACGGAGCAACAAACGAGGCAGAAAGTTGCCCCACCCCTTCCCATCTAAGGCGGGGGCGGGGTTCCCCCACCTCGCCCGTTGCCATACCTACTGCCAACTCCCCAAACCCTCTCTACAAAGCCTGGCAGCATAATTGTTGTGACAATGGGAAAAAATCATATCTACCTTACAAATATAAAGATATTCATTAAATACTATTACATGTATTTTTTAATAAAAAATACTACTCATCATCATATTAACACCAATATTAATGTACATTAAACTTTCCCCTTTTATGTTTGTAACTAAAATCATCCAGTAATATCAAAATGTATGGCATTAAATTCAATGGCTGGAAATATGGAAATTCAAATTCAAATTGAGAATTCTTGTTATGTTGCTGTTCTCTTATTGATTGCTGTAAATGTAATAGATAATCGTCAATTCTTTTGTTCACGTTTCAGAAAATCATCTTTTAGCCCGTGACCTTTGTTCTTGATTATAAGTTGAGATATTCTGTAGATCACCATCATCATAATCACCTTCAATATACATTTCACCCTATTAGTAGCAATTTATAATTTGGCAATACAAATCTTTGTGAGGATGAAAGGAGGAAATCATGGGAATTTTCAAATTTGGCACTGCTCTCCAGGTTTTTTCTTCTCGATAAAATTTGATAGCATAATTAGATCTGTGCATTTGTATTATTTTACATGAACGAGCTTATAATATCGTGCTAGCATATCAGTCACACGGTTAATTATGATTGTATTCTTTGTTCATAAAAGGGGTTTGGTAAGGGTTGACCTTAGAGCATCTTCCTTCAAAATTGGCTCCTTGCCCAATCTGTTTATTTTAGCTTTTACTCTGCCAAGAAACATATGATTTCTTAACTTTTATGAATTTATGCTTGTAGGTTATGTCATGGCTCGTGGCTGCTTTGGTGATAGTGATCAACGAGTACCTTTTGGTGGACTACTTCTCTACCGAAGGGAGTGGAGTTATATTTACATCTGTGGTATTCATCTTTATAGATGCATATGTCTGCATATGTTTGTATTCATCTTTACATCTTCACAAGGAGTCCCACAATGTTGAAGAGATAAGGAAGAAGATCCTCGCATTCAAGGTGATAAGGCCACATGTTCATATGCTGGTAGACAAAAGTTAAGTGATAAGGGAACCAAGGATGACTAGTTCAAACCAAAATGCTTATCCAACGAGATGCAATATATCTGGCATGAGAAAACAACATATCAGAGAGTATCAGATTCAAGAAGGATGCAAAAAGATCAGATTAGTTTAAAGTTTGAATTTTAGAGATTTTTGTGCAAAGTAGTTTTACTTGTTTCATTGTGTTTTATCCTATTTAAATAGACACCTGTGTAACTTCTAGTGCTCATGTTCAATGCAAAAATCTTCAATACAGCAAGCAGTTTGTCCATTAAAAATATATATCAATTGCATGTTTTTTCTTCTCGCCCATTCTTTGTAATGCTATAACGATCTATTTGTTATAATTCTCAAGTTAATACATCACATTTTCAGTTTTACATTTCTCGATAAAGATTTTGTACGAGGATTGTCCATTTGTCATAACATTACATATACATTTTTAACTCAGTATTAGAAACTTAACGTGTTTAATCTCGTACATCCGTTTATTGTTTGATTTTGTATGAATGTAGTTCTAACTTACACAAATCTATATGTGCAAGCCATGGGGTCGCTTAATGACTGAATGTGTTCGTTACATGCAATGTAATGACTTTTGGGCTTCTCGTTCCATTTTGCTGTAATTATCAAAAAATTATTGAGATGGTATCAAAAAGTTGAAAATCAATGAAAGGACTAAGACCTTAAAAATTGAGTACATCACAGGTGGGAATTTTGCCCCAGTAATTATATCAAATTATAGCTAACTACTTTTTTATTTGGAGCTAAAGAAGAGGGATCCAAAGTTAACACCATATGCTCTACTTGTTGAAGTGTTGGATGTGACGAACATTACTACACTTGTTCTTGTGCTCCAAATAAAAATCATAACCTCTAAGGTCCTGCCATATTGAAATTTTTGCTCCGATGGAATGAGCTCCACAATGAAATCACACATGCATAAAAGTCAATCCATCTCTCGTTGCCACATCAACTTTCTCTGATGAATCCCAATATGCTAAATTTCAGTGCTCAAAATTGATTTTGTGGACATAGACATTACATAAACATAGATTGAGATACGATTTGAGGTTTTTGTTTGAAAGTTGTAACAGTGACCTAGGTAATTGGGGGAAATGTGGCGAGAATAATTGGGGATAAATGAAGCAAGATTATGGTTTGAGTTATTGTGCGAGTTTGGGGGAATGATTTTAGCTTTTAAACGGATTACTTGAGGGGTTGTCTTCATAATTTGTCATTTCTGTTTATACTGCTTATATTGCAGTAAATCTGGTGAAAAAATGATTGTAATGTAAAGAGGGAATTTTTTTATTTTTATTTTTATTTTTAAGGTTGCTGGTGAAATTTCCTCTGTGTCAATTTCCATTGGAAAATCGACAAAATTTGGAGCATAAATTCAATTTTGTTAGTAGGCCCAATTTAATTAACGGGCTGTTTAAAAGTATATGGGCTGGGCCTCGCACAGCAAAAACTTGGGCTCCTCATCCAAAACTTATGTCTTCTATAATTCTATTAAAGGGAACAATTTACAAAGAGGAAATTAGGCTGGGTACTGTAAAAGATGGACAAATTAGATTTATACCTTAAAACAAATTAAAACATATTACAAGCGTAATTAATACGTTCTCCCCAAAACCTAAACCTGAAACCCAACCTAAAGCCCTAAATAGTGTTATTCTACAACCCTTCTCCCTCTCTCAAAACTCTCTGTTTCCAAGTTTTGTTTTCCACCAATTTGTTCTCCATCCACTTCAGTTGTTTATTCCCAGTTTGTTTTCACTGCGTCCATCCTTTTCTGTAATTTTTTCATCTTCTCCTTTCCTATTCGTGGATATCTTAAACATCAACCCAAAACCCCAAATCAAAATCAGCAGAAATTCTAAAATATTCCAATTCGAAATAAAAAACTCCTATTTCGACTTCTTCACTCCGATGCCGACTCCGACACCTGACTCCTATTTCTGCAATGGTTGGAAAAAGTAGGTTAAAAAGCAAGAATATTGATGAAGCACCATCTTCAAAAGAAAAACAGGATTTCTTCAACATCTTAAGAACCCAAGGTATTACTTAGTGACAATAAGTTATGTGATGGTTTTTTGTATCTTGCTGTTTGGAAATTTTGATTTAGGTTGCCATTTTCTGATTTATATGAAAATTTTACTTCAGTTTTCTGATTTCTCTTTTAAGAAAGGTTTAGTTATTTATGTTAATTTAATAGTGAGGTTTTAAAACAAAAAATAACTTTTCGTTTGCTGACCAAAATTATGAAATAAACAATTAATCTATTATAACATGGAGGTGTCTGCACAAGGAAGCAATCGGACGAGCTCAAACTTAGCTAAGTTGGTGCTTTTAAATTTCAAAATAAAGTATAGTAGGATAGTTTTCCTTTTCTGCATTGTAAATCTGCTTTCTGGTGATAATGGATAAGATATAGTTATTAGATTTCAAAATGTTACAACAAAGGTTCACTACTGAGTTTAATATGAATATTAACTTCTAGTAAGGTTTAAAATAATTAAAGCATTGAATCGTAGACCATATCAAATGCATTTTGTGGATTACAATCTATGTGATATTCAAATAGAAGGGCTTCTAATTTATATGACATTGATGTTTAATGAATTTATATTTTAATTCTCTTTCGTGGAATTTTCTCTTTCTTTTGATTGACTGAATTAATTTTTGGGTCAATGTGAAAGCTATGGTAGCTATGAATCAAATCACAGTTATGGTAGCTATGAATGAAACTTGGTCAACTTGTAAAAAAATCACCTTATCATATTAAATTCTATAATTTGTGTTTGCGATTATCAGTTGCATCATTTAAGGTATATGAATTGTTTGGGATAATGTTTGACTTATTGAGGATTGAAGAAATTTGGAATGCAAGATTTTATGTTTTTGTTATCAGGTTTGACATCCCTTCTTGGCGTGTTCATGGCTACCGATGTTTACTACTGCTGGAGCACAATTGTTTGAAGAGGTAGCAGATTGGTCTCCGTTAGTTGATAGAACTTAAATGAGGAGCAAAGAGCCTGTTGGCAATGTGATTAAGTTTGAACCATATAATGTAAATAATTGACATTTATGAAGTTCTTTTTGATGATTTTGCTATTGTGATTGGGAATATGTTTGAAAATAACATTGTTGAACTTGAGGAGAAGTTAATTGTGTCAACACATAAGAAAAATTAGCTTTGAATCAATTAATGTGAAAAAGTGACATTCTATTATTTTTCTTAAAAAAGTCACACTATCTCATTTAAATGCATAAGTGTACATTTGTAAAAATTTGAACATACAAATTCAAGCCTTGTTTTATGCTAATACATAAAAGATAGTTTTGAATCAATTAGATTGATATATGCAATGTGTTCGTTTAAGGAAAATGTGAAAAGGTGACATAACGTCACTTTTCTAAAAAAGTCATACATGTGATTGAACAATTAACTAGATGCATATACGGGTGTTTTTTTTTTTTTTTTTTTAAAAATACAAATTCAAGCTTGTTTTATATTAATACATATAAAAAGGAAAATTTTGAATCAATTAGATTGATACATACAAGACATTTGCTCAAGGAGAATGTGGCAAAGTGTGTCACTTTTTTTTTTCTTTCACTTTTTTTGAATCTATGTAATTTTATTTTTTTAATTTGTGTCACTTTTTCAAATTCGTCACTTTTTTTAATTTTTGCCATTTTTTGAATTTTTGTCACTTTTTTTTTCTTTTGGAATTTGTCACTTTTCAGTCATCTTGAAACTTCTATTACATTTTTTTAGTGAGAATGTCACTTTCTAATAAAAGTGAAATTATATATCATTTTTTAATAAAAATGTGACACTAAACTTTTAAAAGTGACATTGTGTCACTTTTTTTTTTTTTAATAAAGAAAAGTGACAATTTTTATATTAAAAAAAAAAGTGACATTGTGTCACTTTTTAACTTTAGACAGTATTTTTTACTTTCAAAATTTTTTTCATATGATTTTTCAAAAGACCTCTAATTTTAAGGATATTTTTGTAAGTTGCCCATTTACAAATAGGAAAATCAGACTAGACCCTTTTTATATCCATGGAAAATGGATTCCCCCCCCCCCCCCCTCCCCGCCCCTCTCGCTAAGCCTTAACCATTCATTCTTTTCACAATTCAGTGAAGAATTCATCATTTTCTCGATCGATTGTTCCGTTTAAAGGAATTATGACTCAAAGGTGCTCGAGCTTTAACGCTTGATTTTTTTTCATAGGTTATTTTTTATACTACATTTTCATTATACTAAAAATCATCTCAACCTTTCCTTGTTGTTGCGATTAGAGTCCCAAAATTTTTTATCCAATTTTTTATCATCAATTTTAAAAATATTATTTCCGTGTTTGATTTCGATTAAAATCTACTAAAAATTTTAAGTCGAAGTTGATAATTAATTTTAATCACACATTTAATTATTTTTTACCAAAATATACTAAAAATTTGATTTCAATATACACCAAACAATTGCTATTTCTGAAAATGGTTTCTATTCAAAATGTTCGTTAAGAGGACATTAAAAAAAATTATTTGCTCATTATATTTTTATATAAGTAAAAAATTGGTAACAAAATATTTTCTTCTAACTTCAAAGCACCACGAACAAAATATTTGAATAAAAGCCATCAAGGACTAAATATGCTATTGAAATATAAGCGTCGCTGTTGCTACAAAAAATCGTACATGTTGATTCTCGAGTTTGATAATTGAGGATGAGCACGAACGCGTTCTTCCAATACCTGAGGCGCCTCGTCGATGCTTAAGTTTGTGAGAGGGGAAAAATGTATGCGCAAGACTATAAATTGAATGTAAAAGCATACCTCAACAATGAACTTTGATAATGTATTTATAGATGGTGGTAGAGTTGTAAAATGATCCAACTACATCTAACCCTTATTCTTTATCATGCAAAGTAGTGTTGTTATATTGAAAGAATTTTATTTGAACTTTGAATCGAACCGTTATAGGTAAATAATGAGGATAAACGTCATGAAAAATTATAGTCGAAGCAGAATTAATGTTTTCTAGAAGATGTGAGATAAAGATTATGTTGCATGATGTGCGGTCCGATCTGGATAGGCCCAACCTTAGCATGGAAGCCCGACCTTGGTGTTTGGGTAAATGTGGGAGGACAAGATCGAACTATCGATGTTGAGCTCGACCACATAAACTCGAGGATGTTCTAATCTTAGGAGAGTGCTCGAGGTTATCATGAACTCGAACATGAGGTCGTGGATGGTCGGGTCATACAAAAATTTTACACAGATAAGCAAAAATTGAGGAATTCAAATGCAATTACAAAAAATTATGGTGTGAATTCTATTACCTAGAAAATTATGCCTCTGTCTCTGTTTAGGTTTATATTTTGTCATTAAAATTTAAGTTTTCAAAGAGTAAATGGTAGATAAGTGAGCGTTGTTTGAGCCCGTTTAGGAGAAAATAAATTTTATAATAGTAATTTTTTGAGAATGCATGATTAAAAGTAGATAAAAATTTTAAACTGACGTATAATATTTTTATGGAAAGAATGTGTAATTGACACTAGCCCTTGTCTGAACCCCTCATTTTTTTTTGTATAATAATGAATTTTTGAATTGTGTATTGATGAAAAATATGTGATTAAAAAATAAGAATTTTTTTTGGATTAACGTGTAATATTATTTTATTAAAAAATGTGTTGTTGTATATATCTTCCATCAATCTACTATTCTAAACTGCATTTTTTTTCTTCATAAAAATAGATTTTAAAAAATGGGGCGGCTTTGACTTTGACAAGTAAAATTGGAAGAAAATGAATCCCAATGTGACTCGAACCGGGTTGATTGAGTAAGAAAAAGAAACCCGGTTTTAGTGGGGGCGCATGTTAGTGTATTTATAGACTGTGGAAGGATGTGCGCGTTACACATATCCGCCATGGCTGCCTCCAGCTTGGCCTCGCAAGCTTTTCTAAGAAGGGGAATTCGGGCATTTACATCCTATCATTCCATCGATATTGCAAAAAAGCTCACACAGTTCAGAACCTTCCCTCTCACAGCTCCTTTGAGTTCCTCAGGTCTACTCATCTGTTTATTTACAATTTTTTAATTGTGGTGATTTACACTTATCTACATAATATTAGGTTTTATATTCGGATTTTTTGAAAATCTCAACTACCCGTTTGACTGAATATGTGAATGTTGACGTATTTGCTAATGTTTGTTTATTGACGGAAACTTTGATGTGTCCTATATGAAACTGTCGATAATCTTGAATACCTATTTGAATATGCTGTTAACGAGGAATTCAATCTGAAAAGAAAGACCTTTTTGGTATAGAAGATAATTGACGTAGGGAATACATGAACTTAATATTTACACACCCCGTGTGCATTGTTCTTGGAAAAATTGGCCAGAATCGACAAATTGGGAAACTTATATAAACCTGTATATGTTGAATTCAATGGATGCTAACAAGTTAATGTACCGATCAAGCATAGTAGGCTGGGTATAAATTACGCTCAGTTTTGATCTACTCAAGTTTGTGAAGTATCCGAGTTAATGGATGCTAACTCCAATACAAAAAGCCATTGACGAGGCATTTTCTTGCAATGTCGATGGGACTCATTTAACTAGCTCAGTTCTATAATTATTATAATCATAGCCGTAATTTGCTTAGTTATTGATGCTCGTGCATGCAGCTTTGGGTATATGCCACTCACCACAGGCTGTAAAGGGTATTGATGTTTCACTCAAAGGAGTGAGAGACATGGAAACAGTTGAAGAAATAAAGCGGATTGTTGAAATGGTATACTTTTTTGAAGTCATTTGGCCGAGCACTCTCAACTGTATTCCTTGTGCAGATCACTTTTCTTCTTCTTCTTCTTAGTTTGACTCTCCTTGCTGCTGCAGAGAAAATTAGAGAGAGCTACTTCATAAAGAATTCTGAAGTTACCGAACATCAAATGGTTTTAAATATACTTATTGCTTCTTCTGTTTCTTAGGCAGATCGGGCATTACTAAGGAGAGAAGTTTTACATACTGATTTTCTCACACCACCTGTTCTAAGTGAGTCAATGTCAGTATTAGTGAAGTTAAATGAAATCAAAGCAGTTGCTCAGGGAGGATACCCAGAGGTTAGAAATCCATATCATCACCAGACTTGGTGACATAGTTACTTACAGTTAAATTGTTTTTATAATTCAAATCTTGTAGGCTGAACGTTGCCGGCTCTCAGTTGGACATCCAGATATATTGACATCTGAACCCAACAATGTTGTAGCACTGAGGTAAGTCACTTCACATATCCACCGCCCTATTTTTATTGGTACAGTACTATAAAAGTCAATGCAACTTATCCTCTCGTTCCTATAAAAAATGAATAGCAGTCTTTTCATCACAGTGAAATGGTTTCTTTTATCAGTATATCAGGAAAATTCGAGTTTGAACCTTGTTCTCATGGTGACTTTCTTGGTGCAATCCTCAATACTGGGATTGTTAGGGATAAGCTGGGAGATATTATATTGCAGGTATCTCTTCTATAAAATTCAATGTGGGATATATTTTTACCGCACTTGCATTAGATTTCGGGTAAACTTTGCAATGTTCGGCACTTTAATTTAGTGTAAGAAACCTGATAATGAACTTTTCTTAAAGAAGGAAAAAATGAAAAACTTTAAAACGGATAAACGATTGAAATTTCGTCCCAGGTAAATCTTTTAGGGATTAGTTAAAACTTAAAAGTGTATATACCTGTAGATTTTTAATGCATGGGTTAGCATATTGGTCAAATATCTAATTGCGGTAATATTTGTTGGATTTGTACCTTCATTTATTGGTTATGTAGGGAGAGAAGGGGGCTCAAGTCCTTGTCGTTCCTGAAATTGCTGACTTCCTCATATCATCGCTAAGCAAGGTAGACATATGATTTCTGTAAAAGTCTACATTCTATCTGAACCTCATACACTTTAAGATGTATTTGTCTAACTAGCAATGTTTCGAACAGAACTTATTCAAACATGAATATACTTCTCCTCCTCCCGTGGTTGGGTCTAGGGGTGGGCGCGGGTCGATTCAGTTCTCGAACCAAAATTTTCGGGTATCTAGTAAATGGAACCGTCGGGTCCAAATATAATTATGGAACTGTTCGGGTTTGGTTCCGTTCGGTTCTGTACTATAATTAAATTTTTTAACATTTATAACAACATTATATAAATACAACTAATGACACATTCAATGGTTTTGGAATGTCAGAGACTAGTAGACTACTTGGTTCAAATGATCGCTACGGTCACAGCTTCGGTCGGTGGAGGTCACAGCTTCGGTCGGTGGTCACAGAGTCGGTTGATGATTGTATAGGTTTTGGAATGTCAGGGAGACTGTGAGAGTGAATGCAAGAGTTGAGACAACGTTATGCACTTTAGTGTAGATATTTATGGTTATTTAGTGGATTGGATTTTGTTGGGCTAAGAAATGAAACAATAAAATGGGTAATTGGGCTAAAAATTAAAAAATTAGAAATGAAATAAATTATTGCGCCAAAAATTTGGATTTAGAAATTGTTAATTTGTTTAGAAAAAATTAAAATTAGAATAATTTGATTTATTCAATATAAAAAAATTAGAAAGATTCGGTTCTTATTCGATTTTTTGGTTCTTAGTCTAGAATCGAGAACCGAACCGTACCCGTCGGTTCTCAATTCAGATACCCGTTCGGGTATTTAATTTGACAAGAATCGTCGGGTTCGGTTCAGTTCGGTTCGGTTCGGTCGGTTTGGTTCGAGAAATTTGCCCAGCCCAAGTTGGGTCAATTACATTTTGTGCCTTTTATAATTCTTTGTTGAATTGACTGAACCAGAAACCATTAGTTTGCTCTACTGCCTTGTTAATTTCCCTTAAAAATAAGCTACCTAAATTGACTTCGACTGTTTTAATAATGCAACCAGCATATACATGACATAGAATTTGATAAAACTTGATTAGGAAAGGAGATCTGCATACGCCTGAACAGGTAATATTCTGAGTTGAATAAAGCAGACTAAGAATTTAAGGAGTCTGTGATGCACCTTATAAATGTGGCATACAGATTAACAAATGATTTTTTATTTTTTTTTAATATATTTCCCTTTTGCAGGTAAGGTATGTCTCAGTTACCTGTGAAAAGATACCATTGCTTGATATTGAATATGTGCCGCCAAGGTCAGTCATTTCTTCCTCATATTTACCCTATATTTGATTAATATTGTTGGTTTGACATCATTTACTGACATGACTGCTATGATCTTTATAGTACCAAGACTCTGAAAACTGTAGAAGCGTCACTTAGATTTGATGCCATAGCTAGTGCTGGCTTCAAAATTTCACGATCCAAAATGGCTGGTTATATCAGGTATGACAGTGTCTCCCTTATCTTTTCTATTCTCTGTTGGGAGTTAAAAAGACTGGCTGTGCAGAGGTCATATTCAGACTGTAAGGCTGGTGGTAAATGGTATCATTGAACTTTATGTGAAGACTTTTTCAATTCTTCATTTTGAGGGTTTTTTATTTGTTGTGGATTGCTTCAATCTGGTGGACGACTCTTCTCTTCTATTGAAAGAGGCCTCGGAAGCGATTTCGTTTTCAGATAGTGGGGTATTCAACTGGTTTAACATACGTACGGACTCCTAATTGTGGGTTTTCTATATATTTAACGTGAAACAAGAAAGGATTTTGCACGGTGTATCCATCATTGGAATGGCATGCTCTACTGTAGGTGCCGGAGAGTTTTAAGATTTTATACATTATTATTGCTTTTCTGGTTTTTCATTCCTCATTTTAAATTTGATTTTTAGCCCACACAAGTTTTATCCGCATTTTCTGTTAGTGATATAATTCCTGCTATCTCTATCTTTCAACAATACCTGCAGAATTACTTAATATCATATTCCCTGACCAAGGAACCCTGTTTTAGAATGGCAATTTCTCAGAACTCTTTCGTTTTGTCAAACAAAATTTCATGTTATTCAGTTTTTCTGTCTTTTATTCTAACTGAATTATGAAAAAACTTTTAGACAATTATTAAATCCGAAATAGAAGAAATATGTGCCTCTAAAGTAATCCAAAAACTTCTCATGATCTTTGCTCTGGTAAAAAACATAATCATCTTGTAAGGCAAGATATAATAGTTTCTTTACGTCTTAAATGTCAATAAAACTTATCGATATTTCTCTCTAATTCTACATGGGGTGCCCACTTCAAATATATGTGCAATCTATTTTGATTCTCAAATGAAGTTTTGCACATATTGATGAATGATCTGAATATATAACTGGAAACATTTCATTTATATTAACCACAAGGCGAGATCAATTGTGAACTTCATTTATGACATTGCAAAAATAACTGAACTGCTGAAATTTCGTTTGCCTTCTAGTGATGGAGATGTGCGTTTAAACTGGACCACAGTGACGAAAAGCAATACAACCCTAAAGACAGGAGACGTCATCTCTGTAAGTGGTAAAGGTAGACTAAAGGTGAGTCATCTTTTCAGTGATTTACTAAATGCCATCTTATTGCTTGGGGATCAACCAAGACATTGCTTTTTCGAGATTTTAGGTTGAAATTGAATTTTCAAACCATAACAAAAAAACTGCAGTTTTATACTTAGCTCTCAATACTTTAACCGTGGATGCATCAACCTGTATGTAATTGTGTGGTGCACGTGCACTAACACATTCACAATCACGTGCATATAAATTCATAAATGCTCTCTTGCTCCAGGTTGGAGAGATAAACACCACAAAGAAGGGAAAGTTTGCAGTTGAACTCTTTCGATATTTGTGAGGCAAAGGGCGATTTATCAACTTCCCCGGCAGGTAAGAACTTGTATGCACTGACTTTGAAGTTTGAACAACTAATCCTACAAATTTACCCGGATAATTTTCTGAAAAAGGAAATCTCACAGATCCTGTCAAAGGACAGGTTTACATCTGCTTCGACAAGGATTAAGATTGCTTCAAGGTAAACCTTTCTAGTAATGCTAGTGTACATTAGAAGATGTTCTCTGGCTTTATTATTCATTAGTGCATTTTTTGGCATCTTGTTCGTTTGTAAATACTTGACATACGAGTTAAGTTGATGGTAGCAGAGATGAGAGGAACAGATAATTTTCTGAACTTCTTTAGATTGATGATTGCCGGCGAAACTAACTTTATTCTGGTGCTAGATGTTGTTCATTAGGCAAATAATGTGATAAACAATAATTTGTATTTCATGCAAAATTTAAATCTTAGCTACGAAATCGACTACCATCCCACCTCACCCTCCTATACGAACAAGTTGTTCACATTCCAAAAATCTGTGTTTGATCCAAACAATTATCACTTACGCGTATCTACAATTCCCATACTCACACTAGACACCCATAGAGAATTTTTTTTCCCACGCTTGCCACAATTTGCTTGTGCAAAACATTGGCGCACATTTTCCGGCAGCAACTCTCCTCTCCCAGCGTACACTTCTGACCACATCACCTGCAGTTATTCTGGACCACAAGCACATTCCGGCAATGCTTCTTGCAGCAGTAAAGAAGGCTTGTTCCATCGTTAGACCTTTACCCATTGTATCCATCATCAGTCGCGTTACAACGTGTGCCTTTTTTGATGATGCTCGCTAAGAACCGGATTTGTAATCGCTTGGAAGAAAATGGTGCATCAACTATGTATTCTTCATTCCCGGTCGTCCTCAACTTCGAATGATGCTGATGCTTGAATATGTAGGATTAGTAGAAAGTGGGTGAGAGAGAATGATTCTTGAATAGGGTTTTGGCCATTCTCTCATGCTCACAAGAGTGCAAATGAAGGGACGTCACGTGAGGTTTATATATATTATGGAATTTGTAATAAGAAATTGTACTCTTTTTTCATGGCAATAACCCCTTGTTTGGTAGCAGTTTTTACCCAAAAAAATCAAGTTTTTGACTGTTATTTTACTATTTCAATCATTATTTTTTATTTTTTTACTCACAGATGAGACTCGCATTTTTCTCTAACGGTCAAAAAATCAATTCTTATAATCACTATCGAATTCATGAAGGGCCACTCGTTAATTTGGAGTTGATAAGCCTCCTTAATGAGAGGCCTAGATTCTTGCATAATAATTATACATAAATAGTGGCATTGCCGAGTAACTAGAACAAAATAAGTTGATTGGTCACAGCCTCCTATGCTATATCTAGGGATATCAACGAGTCGAGTCGGCTCGCAAGTCGAAACTCGAGGCTCGGGTAACATGTGCGCTCAGGTCTTTTTGAGCCGAGCTAGCAGGCTCGCCTTTTTCTTTGCTCCTTTTTTTTTTTTTTAAGCTGGCAGTCCAGCGACTGCCTTAAAGGCAACATTTTGCTGCCTCCAAGTTCCTTTCTTTTTTTTTTTTCTCTCTTAATAATGGCTCACGGGTTGGATCGAGCACGGCTCGTCCATCCAAGTTGGGGCTCGGCCCAAGCTTAGACTCTGTTCTTCCGAGCAGTGAGTGCGGGCCGGCTCGGGCTTTTTCGAGCCGAGCCATGGGCGGCCCGATCTGACGCACCAAATTGCCATTCCTAGCTAGATCTTAAGTCTATATTTTTTTTGCATTTACTAGCAGATTTATTATTATTATTATTATTATTATTATTATTATTATTATTATTATTATTATTATTATTATTATTATTATGTATGTCAATGCCCGGCCATGTCCCTCATCATCGTCACCGACTTATTTATGTGAGACTCGTAAAATTTCCCTATTGGAATCATCCAACTGGCCATTGCCATTTTCTTCAAAGGACTCTCCTAAGACAAGTTCTTAGGAATAGGACTTGCTCGATCCCACTATGCGTCGAGTTTGGCATAACTATCGAATTCCATTTCTCGATCTTCCATTGTCAAGGTGGCACTCGAGATTCTTAGCTTTACAACACTTGCAATCCATCCTAGATGGGTACGTGCTCAACAAATATCAACCTAGATTGGCTTAATCGTCAACGTCAAGTTAGAGATAGTAACACGAGACCTCAGTTAAAAAATGCCAGCAATGGTCAACTATTTTAAAATAATATATACTTTTCTTAACTTTTGTTTTGTCCCAACCCAATTATTATTTAGTATTTATTTTTTAAACTATTTATATATTTAATATTTCTATCTAAATACAGTTCACAATCTTTAATTATTTTTCAATGTTATTAGTTACTTTTAAAATTTTAAGAATTGGAATCTTCAATAGATTGTGAGTCTTAACCGATCTCCTAACTTCCCTACTAATGCTTCAACAATCTCATGATTTGAAGTCCATTTGTTGTTAAATGTATATTTGTACAATAACTATCTATTCTATTTATTTTTTCATTGTTAGACATTCAATATTTACAACTAATTTTAATTTTAATAGTAGCATTCTTGTTCTTGTATTTCAATAAGAATAAAAAAGCAAAAATTAGAACTCAATAAGAAGAATAAAAAAGCAAGAATATAAGTTGATGAATTAAACAGGTGAGATGACTGCTACTCCAAGAAAATCTCATGCATTCCCTTGAAGAATCTTGTTTGATGGCTCAATTGTTGTCCATTTGCCAATCTTTGTTAGCCACAACAGACCTAAAGTCTGTAAGGACAGACCACAAATCAACCCAATCCATAAACCCTGTGTCACACAATTTTGAACATAGAATCAAATTTCATAACCCTTATGAAGAAATACAAAAGAAGGAACCGTGCATCGTTGTAATTACGTGAATTAAAGATCTTCTATGACGACCAACAACATATTTGGCTTCGCCAAGCTTTGGGCCCATTTGGCTAGACTTTTGAAAAGTCAAAAATTACTTTTGAGATTAAGAAGCTATTTTTAAAGACGATTTCTTAAAGTGCATCGTCTAATTAAAAGAATATTTGAAAGAAGTTGACATTTTTTACAAGAAGCAGAAACACTGCCAAATGTGTCCCTTGAGTGTCACTTTTTCACGAGGTTTTAAGCTCAAAACTCTTTCTCAAAGTAGGTCTCTCCTCACTTTCGAAAAAAGTAATATATTTTTGGGCTTGGCGAAACATGTTGTAAAAGCAGTAACGTTGGTGTGTACTGCACTAACGATCACAAGTGACAAACACCTCTCCTTTGTCAAAACCATGGGAAGGAAAATAGTCTAATATTTTTACCTGAGCATATAGTTTCATCTTGAAACTAAGTAGAACAGCAATCGGCATCCCAATTAGATAGAATGCTGCCAAGTTAATACACACACCCATTTGCTGCCAACCACATCCTCTAATCACCCCTGTAAAATCAATACATTTCCATTTAGAGTAGAAATCAATAAGAGCACATTCTTTATACAGCATTGTACAAGATAACAAACACGCCTATTTTCGAGACCCTCAAGGTTGGAGTCCTAAGGATGCTACATCAAGGAATGAAATGCCCGTGGCCCAAAAGACGAAAAGATAGTAGTCATTTGTACGAGATAACAAACACGCCTATTTTCGAGACCCTCAAGGTTGGAGTTCTAAGGATGCTACGTCAAGGAATGAAATGCCCGTGGCCCAAAAGACGGAAAGATAGTACTCTTGACAAATGACGGCGCTACTGAATCACAAAAAAGCTCTCATCTCCCCTTTTGGCCTTGGGTATTGTCGTTCACCAAAGTGACGAATCCAGTACTCAAGATCTCAACACACTAATAATGAGCTTTTGCCTCAGTGATGGCAACACACATTTAGAAGCTAATTATAAGAGCGGTGACGTTTTGAATCCTGTCTAGTGTTTGCCCACACGGCATGCCAAAAACCTCGTAAGAATATCACTTTATATGCTGGGAAGTTAAAGAGAGAAATCCAACCTGATAAGATTGCTTGAAAGAAATCGCATGATATAGACACTAAAAGGAGGGGTGTCATCGAAGAAAATGCTTGCAAAATCTCTGGGCTATTACTGAAACAACTCGCCCACAAATAATGGCCAAAAGTTAGAGCCAAAATAATTACAAGTGCAAAAAGAACTGCCAGCTTCAGAGCGACGGCCATGGCACGTCTAGCTTGATCAGGGTTCCCGCCTCCCAACTCATTAGACACCCTTGTGCTGCAAGAATGAATATCAGATTTAGCAGAAATAATAGTTATAATAGAAAATATTTGATAAATTCGATAATTATACTATTTTTTTCCATTGTAATACCTTGCCGTTGCTCCAAGACCGCAAGCAAACATGTAACAAATGGCTTCTGTATTTATACTGAAGATATAATCATCGAAACTCAGTGAAAATATTCGTAACAAATCAATATAGAAACACAAAGAAGTAAAGCTTATACCAAATTGCTATCAGTGAAGTGTTTGTTTTTGAATTTGGCATCATTCCTGCTAGCAAAACTAGAAGCTCAAATGCCCACTCCTCTAAGCTGCCAAAATAATAAGCAATTTATAATTCTTCACAAATACGAAAATCATAATCGGTTTCTAGTCGTCTGTCATAACTCCAACCAGAAGGTGGATTCAGACTATCAGTGGCTGTAAGACTATGATAATTGCACTTGATGCTGCCAAAAATAGCACTTCTAAGCACTTCCAAACACGCTTTTAGATAAATAAACGAGTCTCCTCTTTAATAGTTCAGAATTTAGATGAGGTCATTGAGGTGGTTCCTATAAGCCAAATATCTTGAGTTCAAGTCTCGCAACAACTGATTTATTGAAATTATTTAAGTGTCACGTGTTTAATATAAAATGAACCTGGCGTTCACACAAGAATATGTGTTGATCTTGTTGGAAAGAAAATAAATTAAATGGTGAATGAGATGTAAAAACAATTTTGATTTCAAATTCTCTTATTAAATTTTTCATTGAATTGGAATAAATTATGAGATATAACAATAATTTTGATTTCAAATTTTCTTGTTAATTTTCAACTGAAATAGTGGTTACAAAGCCTTAGAAGCTATTGTAACATAATTTGATGTAAATATAACATTAGCTACGAAAATTGAAAGCCCCCTCGTCCTAGTACTATATCAGGAGCTGTTCTCCCTTCTTATTCCATACATCAAAATTTTGAGAGTTCTCCCATCTCTCTAAATTTCTCCCTCTCTTTGTTTTAAAAGCGTTGCTCTTAGTAGTTTAGATAATTGTTTCTAGTTCGGTGATACAATTATGAGCATTCTCAATTCACCTAAAGCAATGACGAGGTGTTAGACAATTGCTTTCATCCATTAGATCCTGTAAGATAGATGCTATCAGTCCTCCTATACTACC